AACAGGCCAAGGTCCCTCCCCCTCCCTGTCCCCATCCCCGTCCCAGTCCCTGTCCCCATCCCTGTCCCTGAGCCTGTCGCTGTCCCCGTTCCCATCCCCATCCCTGTCCCCATCCCTGTCCCTGAGCCTGTCACTGTCCCCGTTCCCATCCCCATCCCTGTCCCCATCCCTGTCCCTGAGCCTGTCACTGTCCCCGTTCCCATTCCCATCCCAGTCCCTGTCCCCATCCCTGTCCCTGAGCCTGTTGCTGTCCCCGTTCCCATCCCCATCCCTGTCCCCATCCCCATCCCTGTCCCTGAGCCTGTCACTGTCCCCGTTCCCATTCCCATCCCAGTCCCTGTCCCCATCCCTGTCCCTGAGCCTGTCGCTGTCCCCGTTCCCATCCCCATCCCTGTCCCCACCCCTGTCCCTGAGCCTGTCACTGTCCCCGTTCCCATTCCCATCCCTGTCCCCATCCCCATGCCTGTCCCCGTCCCCGTCCCCATCCCAGTCCCTGAGCCTCTCCCTGTCCCCGTTTCCATGCCTTTCCCTGTCCCCATGCCCCATCCCCGTGCCTGTCCCCATCTCTGTGCCTGTCCCCGTCCCTGAGCCTGTCCCCATTCCTGTCCCTGTCCCCACACCTGTCCCCGTGCCTGTCCCCATCTCCGTGCCTGTGCCTGTCCCCATCTCTGCGCCTTTCCCTGTCCCTGTGCTTGCCCCCATCCTCATGCCCGTCCCTGTCCCCATGCCTGTCACTGCCCCTGAGCCTGTCCCCATCTCCGTCCCCGCACCTGCGCCCATCCCTGTCCCCATCTCTGTGCTTGTTCCCGTCCCCATGCCTACCGCTGTCCCCATGCCTGTCCCCATCTCCGTAACTGTCCCTGTCCCTGAGCCTGTCCCCACGTCCGTCCCTGTCCCCACGCCTGTGCCCAGCCCTGTCCCCATCCCCTCCCCTGTCCCCAGCCCTGTCTCTGTCCTTTTCCCCAGCCCTGTCCCCAGCCCCGTCCCCTCCCCTGTCCCCAGCCCTGTCTCTGTCCTTGTCCCCAGCCCTGTCCCCAGCCCCTCCCCTGTCCCCAAGCCCTGTCTCTGTCCTTGTCCCCGTCCCTGACCCCATCCCCTCCCCTGTCCCCAGCCCTGTCTCTGTCC